ATGCTTCGTCTTATTCAGTTGTAGCCTACCTGAATAACGCAAATGATCCTATATTTTCCATTCAAAACGGCGAAATTTGACAAAATGTCCAGTAGTTTGCATCGCAGATATTACTGCTTGTCGTTTTACACTTCTATCATGAAAACAGTTGTCAAATATGAGCTACTTTCATCTTTCCTCACAAGTCAGCACGACCTAAGTATTAGCCGAAGACGCTTGTGATTTCGGGCGCATCTTTGATTTGCTTGGCCATCCCAGTCATTTTGACATTGATGAGTGCTAGTGCTGTAAGACATCTGAGACAGAGCAGCCTAAACATTTAACTTCTAAAACGTTGTCGTAAGCAACAAACAAGAGCATCAATATCAAATATAATAAGTGACAATTTGCCCATTTCTAATTATTGAGGACTCATCCCCCTAAATGTCTTTTGTGGTCTAATTTCATCTAATGGGAAAACCGTATTTAATTGTGCCAGTATTTTTACAATGACCTTCAGCTTATATCACATGGTAGCTGTAGCAAACTTTCTCTTGATCCACATCCTTCATGCTGAGATTTCCCACAGGGCCTTTAAAAATAACCGGTTGATCTAGAAGTTTCAGTGAGCACTTTTCAGGTGCTGGCCAATCAATCATTTTCAGCTGTCTCCATGGCAACTGAATCTCATCAAACAGTGTGAAGTACCTCCGAGGATGAGAGTGTGAATATGTGCGGCCAGAGTGTGTATTTATTGAAAATCATACTGTATGTGCAGCAGCTGAGCATTACTCAAAATGTGCAGAAGCTGCAACATTTCACCTTACAAGGTTACTAGGAGGGCTGCAAACTCTCTTTGTCTCAGTTCCCGTGTTGTCTCTCTTCTTCACACTTGTCTGGGACCTGATCCAGACGAATCGAACCCAGGTGCAATGTCAAGCTGTCATGTTTGTTAGAAACCGGCGAGAGGTGTATGTGTATGTGGTTAGCCTCAGATGCACACCTAATCATGGCATGTCCTTTCT